GGGGGGTGGGGGGTAGTGGGGGGAGGCAGGGGAGGGGTAGGAGTAAAAAAATAAAAATTTGAAGTTGATAGTATTTTTAAAAAGCGAAATTAATTTTTTGAGGGATTGGGGGTGGGGTGGGGTGGGGGGCTGGTAGGGGGGAGGTAGGAGTTTAAAAATAAAAATTTGAAGTTGAAAAAATTATTAAAAAGCAAAATTAATTTTTCGGGGAGGGGGGCTGGGGGGAGGGTGGTCAAGGATCGGGTGAAAAAATAAAATTTTGAGGAAAATGAGTTGACTTGGAAAACATTTTTCAAAACTTTTGCCCAACCAAACATGAGAAAATTGAAAAACATTTTCCAGAAAATGTTTTCCTTCATGCCAAACAAACTCTTGATCTTGACTTTTATATTGATCTTGAACTTGAGTCTTATCTTGATCTTGACTTCTAGTTGAATTCAAGGGGTTCGAGCTTGATCTTGAATCCGGCGGTCGGTGTTGATCTTGATCGTTCTTGAACTCTTGAACTTGTACAGAAATCTGCAACTTTTGATCCACGAGCTTTCTCTAGCTTCTTGTTAAAATTCTTGGCCCTCCTTTTTTGAATTATGAGACCTCTATTTATAGTTTTAGAATAGAGGAGTTGCAATTGAAATAGGACTTTCTTCGCCCAATCAAATTTAAGTGACATAGCATATGGACTTATGGAGTGAGCTTTAATCAAATTCATATTTAATAAATTTAAATAATTAATTCAATTATATTGATCCATAATATTTATTTGGACTAATATATTTATAAATTTAATATAATCTAGATCATTTAATAAATTTATATTTAAATAAATTTTAAATGATTACAGTGATATATGTGATATTTCGAGATATAATCAATTTTTGAATATGATTTTTTAATATTTTAATATGTGTTACTCACTCTATCCAACTTATTATGTGGCAAATGTGGAAATTTAACTTAAACAAAATTTTACTATATTTTTTGTAAATATTTTAAATTATTAATTATTGTGACTTATAATACTTTTAATAATTAATATAATTTTTAAATATCATATGTTATTTCTCCAAACCCAATTTTTGTGGCACATGTAAATTTTGTGAGTCAATCAAAATTTTAATATGTTTTTAAATATTTTAAGTTGTGATTTATAGTACGCTTAGTGCAATTTTTAAACAATATATGTTACTCCCTTTATCTCAATTTATGTTGTACATGTGAAATCTCGATAGTTAATCACATCTTAATATATTTTTTTAGAACATTTTAAGTTATTAATTATTATGATTTATAACACTTTTAATGTAGTCTTAGTCTCAGTTTATGCAGTGCGGATGAAATTTCTAGAGTTAACCAAATGTTTAATATTTTAAGTTCTTTTTAGTACTATTTTTTGATATAAAATAAAAATAAAAAAAATTAAATCAAAATGAGTAAACTAAAGGTAAATAAAGGTTGAAGGAGAAGGAAAAACCAATCAATCAACCAACTGACCCTAATGTCATGTCCCGCCAATGCTCAGTAAGATTTTGCATCTGAATAGGGGCGGAAAAATCTAGAGTTTTGGAGAAATTTGTAGAAAACTCTAGAAGCTCCTAGATCTTTCTAGAAGGCTTTGGAGAGTTCTAGAAAGAAGACTAAATATTTTCTAGGAAAACTTAGAAAAATCCTAGAAAGTGTAGAATTCTCTAGAAAGGTATCAAAGTGTAAATAACTTAGGGACTTATAAGTAATTATAAATTATATTTTAGCTCCTAGGAAGTAGTATAAATAGGAGGGCTCTCATTTGTAAATCATCCAAGAAAGTTGTAAGAAATCATCCAAGTAGTAAAAATCATTCTTCCAAAATTCTCTAAATCTGTCTTTTCAATCTCTTAGCGATCTCAGTATAAATGAGCCTACAAGATCGTGAAAGATTCATGAGTAAGTTGTCAAGTGTCGCATGAAGCTTTAGCGAAAACTCTAAGTCTGTGACAATGTGGTATTAGAGCGAAGGTTTGCACTAAGGGAATGGCTAACGAATGAGACACAAATGCCGGTAGCACCACCAACATCAGGTTGGATGGTGGGGAGGAGTGGATTGCAAGGGTTGAAACGGCGAGGTAGGCCATGGAGATATTAGGCCGGCGTTTGAACGTGGTTGATGGCAAGTTCAAAACCCTTAAAGACTTTACCCTCGAGGAGATAAAAAACATCCGTAAGGAGTTGGAGGGACGTCAGCGGGCCGAGTTTGAGATGAAGAAGGTTATAACTTCACTGCGGCTCATGGAGGCTTTGAGCATGATTGAGATCATGAAGGCCGAGATAAAAGCACTCAAGGAAGGCGTGGAAGTTAGAGTATCATCGTCACTTGATCGAGATAGGGAGGCCAAAGTCGAGGCTCCCAAGCCATCCTATGTTCAAAGGCGCCCGTGACCCGCAAGAGGCGGAAAATTTCCTGTGGAACTTGGAGAATTACTTCAAGTGTAATCAAGTGAATAGTGACGAAAAAAAGATCAACACCATTGTGTTGTATCATTCAGAGATGTCCATGTTGTGGTGGAGGCGTAAAGAGTCCAAGATAGGGTAGGGTGGTGTTGCACCATCAACACTTGGTAGCAATTCCAAGAGGAGTTCAAGAAGGCATTTTTCCCTAACAACGTCATTTATAAGGCGAAAAACAAGTTTAGAGAGCTGAAGCAAACCGGTAGCATACGCGCATATGTGCAGGAGTTCACCACCCTCACGCTTCAAATTCCTAACCTCACGGATGATGATATGTTGTTCCACTTCATGGATGTGCTTTAAAATTGGGCCAGGACAGAGTTGGAATGCCGACAGATCAGGATCATTGATGAAACCATCACGCAGGCCGACGCTTTGACAGATTTCAGGCATGAAAAGCCTAACAAAGTCGGAGGA